TAGTACTAGTAGTAGTACTAGTAGTACTAGTAGTAGTACTAGTACTAGTAGTAGTAGTAGTAGTAGAAATGCCTCAATGGAACAAAAAACAGGAGCCATTACATGTGCCAAACTTATGACCCATCTTGCTGAGAGTTTTATATGTTTTGACTATTACTCTCTTTGCAGGGGCGGTGTTGATGATTTCAGCTCTTCTCTTTACAAACTCACAAAGGACAGCAAGGAGGATGTTAGTAGACAATTTTTCCTAACCAAAACTAAGCATGGACCTGCAGATGGAATGCCAGAATATCTCAGCAATTAAGTGTTGTATAATCCATCTGTGGAAGGAGTTGACTGCAGCCTGATTGATTTTGAAATGAATGTTGTTGATTCTGATCTTGATGATGATGTGCCCAACTTCCCTTGCACAACATATCAGACGCAAACACAATCACTACCCCCTTCTTTGAGACAAGGTTTGTTTCTGCTCCAACATAAGTGGTGAAAATAAAACTTATGAAGAATGAAGAATAGGAGGAGAGAATGGTGGTCACTTGTGACAAAAGATTGGGCCATGTACAGACAGGAGTGTTGAAACAAACACTATGTAATTACTTAAGGAACTTTTTGTTCAAGCACACAAAGTTCCCAGTAAAGGATAAAAGTCATGGAAAACATAGTTTAAAAACAGGTAAAAGAAAGTTGGGGTGGGGCAGGTTGGGTGGAAACTGTCAATGGGACAGTGACTGCATGCAGACATAACACACAGACTTCGGCTAGAAAGAACTACAAGGGTAAGTTGCGCAACACTACAGGTATCACCATAAAAGAATTGTTGTGTCTAACAATTTGTTTCCCTGCTGGATACAGGTAGATGACAAAAATTGATTCTGGCTACTTTTAGGGGAGGTTATTTCATAACAGAGTGCAAAGACAGTTAATCATTTGTGTTAAATCAAGAATACAGACAAAAGAACACACCATAGTTTAAGTACTTTGTAAGACAGATATTATGAGCAGTACTATCACCAAAACAAAACAATTTTAAGAGGAGAAGACACAAAGACACAGTGAGCAATATATTCAGTGCAACAGATAAAGCATTTGCACTCCTGTTCTTGTACAAGAACACCTGCTACAAGTCTTGGAATAATTCTAGAAACAAAAAAAAACACAAAAAAGATTCACCAACGACAGACAAAGCATTTGCACTCCTGTTCTTGTTCAACAACTACAAGTCTTGGAATAATTCTGAAAATTAAAAAAAACACACAAAAATGATTCGCCAACAGTAGGATTCGAAGCATGGAGGAAGGCTGGAGCCTTCAGGGATGTATGCTGTTCATAAAGCTTGTTTAGGAGATAGTAAAACAGAGAGCAGAAGACAAAACAAGAAGAACGATTGAAAAGGCACTTATGGCTGACTATCAGGAAACCATGGGTGAAGACAAAGAGGAAAGGGAAATCAAAAGAAGAATTCTGCAAGAAGAAGAAATGTTGGTTTGATGTGACAGATGTGTGGGATAAGAGTATCTTCAAAGACACCAAAGAGTTGTCAAGCATGGCAGTATAATTAGTTAAAATTCTAAGATATTATTAGATGAGAAACAACAGACAAACAATAGAGATAAAATAATACAAATGTGGTGCAGCAAGTTTATTGAACATTAGAGAGAATTGTTGCACATCAGGAAAAAATTGGGGACTGCAAAAAAAGGAAGTGTCGTAGCAGAATACTAGCAGAATAATTTATGCATAGATTATTTGTCATTAGAATAGTAATGTTGGTCTCTTTGTCAATGGGATAATTTTGGCAACAGCACTAGGATACTTTGAGGGTTCATCAGAAACAAAAGGGTACATTGTTGTTATTCTTGATGGTGTTGAAAGGAGAAAACCTGCTGAAAACGAAAATCTGTAAGAACCCAGAATAGAGCATGAAATTCATGCTGAGAAACATATGGTGTGAGAACAAGTTCCAGGGGAAAGGGCCCTGAGTTCATATTAGAGCATCAAAAAATGCACGTGCAATTTTGTTGTGGTCCATGCAGGAAAATGAAAACACCATTATATGTGTGACATAAATACTAGTAGGTGTACCAAGTGCACCTTTTCTGTCAAAATAACAAAAAGCTCAATATTTGGGCAATATGAATGATTCTTTTTTCTGATATTGCCAGCAAAGAATTTAGTCCCACCACTCCATGCATTCAATCTTACTACTACAACAAAATTTTCAAAGGTCTAAGCACTCATGGACCGATGGATTGCACCATTGCAAAAATTATGAGCCTACTGCTGATGCGTTGCAACAATAAAATGTCACTATGTACCACAATACAATTAGTGCTAGTTGTCAAAAACAGAAATTTAAAATACACAAACACCAAAACTACTACGAATAAAAACTTTCTTGCAATCAAAATACCATCTCAAAGCAAACAGACAAACCATTCCTCTAAAGAACAAGCCCAAGAAGATGACCAATCCAAAAAGAAGAAGAATTTCCCACCAGAAAAAAATGTCAGTAACCCATGACAGTAGTATACTAGTATGATCATTGATTTTTGGCTTTAGCTTTGGCTTTGGCTCCAACTGTACTGCATTCTCTTTGTTGTCAGTCAGCTCCAAGTCTTTGTCAAGAATTACCATGGCTCTTCCAAAGTTGGTGCCTTCTTGTATCAAAATAAACTCAGCAATCATGAAAACCAAATACCCTGAAAACATTACAGTGTCTACAGCGAAAATTAGTATTGGTAGTGCAATAATGACCACTACTAAGTTCATTATGTTAGAGAGCATTACAAACAAAATATGTAACTGTAAATTTGAATTGCACTACCCATGATCTATGCTGCTTCCATTGCAAGTTGAATCACTGACTACTATACTAGCTGTATACTAAGCTGGTGGCTGGTGTCTGTAACATCCCAAATGACTCTTACAAAACAGAGTGAAAGGTCATTGGGATTGCTGATTGACTTGTGAACCTTGTCTTTTTCTGATGGGTTGCAATCAATGGTCTCTGAAGCATCTGACCTTAAAGCATGGTTAAAATGACTCATTTTTACAAGGGCCAAGGCTTGTAGCCCAATCTTAGTATTGCTGATTGTGCTTCTATCCATAGTATTGAATGCAAACTAGAAAATTTTCTCTATTCTCCAGGAGCAAGAGGAAAGAAGTAATTTATCTCAATTGTGTTGCTTCTTTAGATTGATTTAGTATTAGTAGGACAAACTGCATGAAAGTACATGTCATTCTTCTTGAAAGCAGGACAAAGTTATGTTTTTCTATTAGCATCAACCTATTGAATTAGTCTTATTGTTTTGGTTTCGGAAGATCGGTCCAAACAAAGGATTGGAACACTCTTGGATCAAAATCAGCCATAGCATCGTCCCATCGATTTTGTTGGATGTATTTGATATTGCTGTCGGAAAATTTTGACGTGCAATAATATTCGATATGGGCGTGCAAAGCATCTAGCGAGTGGCATCGGGTACGGCTTCCTCTGCCGTTGCACGTAGGCATAGAATCAATCATATCATATACAGCCTCGGTTACACTCATAGGAAACTTTACAATGCTCACAACGTGTTCCCGGAAGAAAAGCGTCGCTCCTGCTTTGAGATGTGACGTCTTCCCCTCTTCTCCTTTGAGAAGTGCCATGAATTCGCCCAGGTGAGTTGGGTCAGCTATATTCCCACCTGCTACCCCGGCAAACTTGTGTTGGTAAAGCAATTTCTCGTCAACTAAATAATCATGAACATCCGAGGGTATAATGAGAGATGCACCACCGAGACCACACTTCCTTCGTATCGCTTGCAACAGTGGCACGCATTCCTTGTCGATGACCGACTGGATTTGGGCGTCTTTGACCCCTCCGTGTGTTTCCATGTGTTTCGAAACAACACATGCAGAAATGACAGTACATCCATTGGTCGAACCGGCGACACGGCCTTGATACGTTCGGAGGGGAGAAACCTGGATTTTCCCTTCCTGCTGGTACTGCCGATGCGTGCCAACGATTTGTGAAATTCGTTGCTGAATTGGTAGCTGCCTTTTGGGCCTCTCTTTTTTTGGTTTAGTGATAGCAGAATCGTAAGACGGTGCAGAAGGGTCATGCCTTTCCTGCGTTGATATTGTATTGTCCATGGAAGGCCCGAAATACGACGACTGTTCGAGAACCGAGTTGTAATTGGGTGGAGAAATGCTTTCCTGTTTTTTGCCACCATTCGAGGGTGGAAGCAAAGGTGGCGGAAGATCTCCCCCCACGTCCAAGCGAATCTGTGACAGCAACTGCCCATCGGGCTCGGCTGGTGGATGCGTATTTGTCCGTTTGTTGCGTTGTTGCGTGGCTTCGTTTGGCTTCGGCTGCTGTTGTGTAGCCCCTGGTTGTTTGAGCCTTTGTAACTTGGCTAGGGCACTTTCTTCTACCTTTTCTATAGACTCATTGACAGTAGATCGTTTCAGATTCTCGATTCTTTTCTGCAAGTCGTTCATTCTTTTCTGCTCAAGCTCTCGTTGCTTCCTTTCCCGTTCTGCCTTCTGCCTTCGAATGATTGCCATTCGTTTCTTCTCATTTTCGAGCTCTTCTGCATCCATCCAATCCGAAACAAGCTCCAATTTCTTCAACACATCGTCCACCCGCTTGTTTGCCTGGTTCCTACGGGCTTCGGAATTTTGGGAACGGTAGTAGTCGTGTTTGCTGATTCCCTTTACGTAAAACGTGCAGTATCTCCTCCCGTAAACGTACGCATTGTCGAGCTGTCGATTGTTGAAGACCATCTCAAATGATTCAAAGACTTTGTCGGAGGCCTCGTAATATCGCTCGATTGGAAAGAAATTGCTCACGGTTGGAACACCATCCCCCGCATCACGGAGAAGTTTCCGACGATTGTAACCTGGAAGACTTTCATCTGGACCGTTTCTGTGGTCTAACATTGTTGTTCTTTGGAAACCTGTGACATCCAAGAAAGGGGGAAGCGAACGATCTTAGGTATTGGAAACGAGTTTCTGCTGTCTGTTTGTTTCTCCTTTATGTCTTCGATGCACAAGTCTGAGGAATGATGGATGCTGTCAAAAACAACTAATAGTGCTAGTTGTAGCAACACAGTTGGTACTCGAAAGTATTGTTTTTTGACTTGTGTCTCGAGTCTCGATCGAATTGTTTCCAATTTAGTGTTACTGTTATGTTTTCGTGCCAAACGAGCATGGCGGGTGCGAACGCCTCACAGATGACACTGCAGATGTTGTACCGTACGAGTACCGTACGGTATGGTGCGCTACAGTCCAAGTCCCCTTAGATACGACTTACGGCAGTTCTTGCCGTTGATTCTTTACGTTTTTCGGTACGTATGTACTACCAGTACTGGTACTCGTTACCAATGTTCTCTATCTGTCAGAGTTTCTCTCAAGTCGTGGAGAATTCATCCCGTTGCACTAGGGATTCCCATTTCCCCTTTTGACCAGTTGAAAGGGTTGAAATTTTTGAAGTAATTTTCGTTCATGTAAGACTACGTACGTTTCCGTACTGAAAACCACTCATGACTGAAAAAAATTCTACTACGGTACGCCAGCACCTGTTCGGCAAGTACTACTGGTACGTACAATATTCTTACTCGTACCAGCTATCCAGGGTTTGATGTCCTACGTATTACGTTACGTACGAGTACAATACGTACTCGTACATTGTGAACTATGATCATGACAGATTTTTGTTCTCGAGTTCCGCCGTAATTTGATTCCAGTGTCGTCAAATCCACCATTAAATTGACATCTCTGATAATTTGCCACAGCACCGAAGGCATCGAGAGAGATTTTTGGTTGGAGAACTTGGACGAGACTAGCCCAGCCAGAAATATGTTTTCGTGCGTTCGTTGCAGAGGGTCAGCGAACGTTGCAGCGTGGATTTGTAACACGAAAAATGTAGTGACAACTAGAGTCGCAACGACGAAGATGGCGATGTCCGTGGTGCCAGCAGTATCAGCATCTTCCCATCACTTTCTACGCCTGCATGGTCGACAGTCTTGTCAATGGTATTCCTCTAACATTTCGAGAGCAGAAACCAACTTCGTGGTTTCGATTCTCGGGCCACCGAATGCAGGCAAGAGTACGCTCTTCAATAGACTCCAGTGCAAAGAACGGAACAAAACATACAGACTAGGAAGCAGCAGAGGCAAAAAGGGCGGGAAAAAAGACATCAAGGGCCGGATATCTAGCAAGCGTGTCTCTAKGGGGGATGCCATTGTTTCATCGATCGCGGGCACCACGCGGGATCGTCGTGAGTGCTGGGGAAGGATCGGCGGGACGGAGTTCGTTTTGATGGACACGGCGGGTGTCGATGGAGATCGGATTCAAACCCTGTCTTCCAGGTCCGAAAAACATGCCATGGAGCGTGCAATGATGGAACAAACCCTAGAGGCGGCGAGGCAGAGTGATCTCGTATTGTTGCTGTGGGACGCAAGAGTGGGTGTGACCCAGGACTTGATGATAACGGCACGGTGGCTGCGGAAACTAGGCAAACTTTCGAATGTGGCAGTCGTAGCAAACAAACTAGAGGGGGATTCTTGGGCACAAAACGAAGATTCTCCAGTTTTAGATCATCTTCACGACGTTTTACGATTGGGATTGGGTGAGGCAATTCCAATATCGGCATTGCAAGGCGATGGCTTGGCAGATGTTGCGATTCTTATTGAAAAACTCAAGGCCGAGAAACAAGTGGATACAGAGGCAATAGAAGACGACAAATCTCTAGAAATCAACAAAGACAATGAAGACGAGAAACCGCTTCAAATTGCTATCATAGGTCGGCAAAATGTCGGGAAAAGTACCTTGGTTAATACTCTCGTTGAAAACAATCGCGTTCTTGCAGGTCCAACGCCTGGTCTCACTCGCGATGCTATTGCCGTTGAATGGGATTGGGAAGGCAGGCGTGTTCAATTGGTTGATACAGCTGGAATTCGAAAACTAACGAAGCGCATAGATGACTCGATCGAGGATATGGCCGTTGCAGATGCTTTGCGAGCCATGAAAGTGGCCGAAGTTGCTGTACTCGTACTGGATGCAGAGGAAATGTACATACAAAGACAAGAGCTTGCACTTTGCAATGCTGTTTTGGACGAGGGTCGAGCGTTGGTCATAGCTGCCAATAAGATGGACCTCCTCGAAATGTCAAGCGACTATTCTCCAAGAGATTTTGCAATCAACGTGAGGGAACAGATAGAGGAACGAATTCCGATCTTGCGTAACATACCCGTAGTTCCTATGAGCGGCCTGTCCGGTAAGGGCGTCTCGGAGCTCTTGCCAACGGTATTGGACGCTCGAAACCGCTGGTCTAGGACCATGTCGACAGGATTGCTCAACCGATGGCTCGCGGAAGTTACTACAGGGAGTCGTCCACCAGTTGTAGAAGGAGTCAGAGCAAAGCTAAAGTACATTATTCAAACCAAGGGACGCCCGCCAACTTTTATACTTTTTTCGAATGTGAGCAAGCTTCCAGACCCATACTTGCGATATCTAACGAAACATTTTCAAGATTCGTTCCAGTTGTTCGGCATGCCGGTTCGGTTGGTTGTGAAAAGCAGCTCGAAAGGCAACCCGTACAACGAGAAAAGCAAAAAGAAACGAGGAGGTTTTGGCCTCGGTGGGCGAAAGGCACGCTTTCAACGACGAATAAAAGAGTTCAAAGCAAAGAGCAGACAGAAACAGAAAAGACTGTTTCACAATTAGTCGGTTTCTCTTGATGTTGACCATTGTGGAAGGAATTAGATGAACGGTAGTAAAAAAAGAAATTTACAAGGTCGCTTTTAGGGCAATTATTTGGTGAAATGTTTTGGCTGTGTCACTATGTAACATCAGTCCAGCTACTATTTTATACATACGAATTGTTTCACAATTGAGGTCAATTGAGTAGCCATCAAGTCTTTTCATATTGCTAGAGCATACTTCTTAATCTCTGCCAAGATCATCGTCGTTGGCACAAGATCTTTCGTGAAGGCTGGAGGTTGCCGTTTGTAAACCTTGCGAATGACATCCTGAAATCTAGTATAATAGAGAAGGACTGAAAGGATTGCATTGAAATATGAGTTTTGGTGATAAAGACGAGGTGCATTTCACTTGTCGATTCGGACAATAGCTACGAATCTCCTCAGGTTAATATCACTTACGTTGTGTCAGACATTGCTTTAGAATCTCCATCCCATTTCGAAAGTTCGAAAAATAGCTTAGGACGTTTCGATTGATTTCTTCCATTCCTGACCTCCAATTCGAAGCAAATTCTCGAACCAAAGATTCCACAACCTGGATGTTGACCGTTTTGTCGGTAGCAGAACCCGTAGCAAGGCTTGCCTCGGTTTGCTGGACGAACGCTATCATTTTGGAAAAACCATGAAGAAGTTCTTCTTCTACAAAGAGCTCGCGTTGAAGCATAAGCAGCTCGAGAATACGGTTAAGTTCCTTTCCTCCCGCAACTCTTCTTTCTTGGAAGATGCATACCGCTTGATCCAAGTTGTTGATCATGAAAACAATTTTCTTTATGTTGACAGCATGTTCGTCGGAAAGACGCCCGAGCAATGCAATGTATTCATCCAACAGTTCATTCAAATCTTGTAGCAACATATCTCCCGCACTAGCCTTCGAATTCTTTACTTCTAGTACTGTCGAAAGTCCACGCTGAGCTGGACGGGTGGGAGAATTTGACGCCGCGGTCTTCTGACTATTTTTGTGTGCAGATGACGTTGATCCAACCGATGGTAGTGGTTTGTTACCTTTTTGTAATATGACAAGGACACTGCAGGTGAATTCTGCAAATCGACGGGAAACATAGTGTGCATGGAGGTTCGGAGGAACGTGGCCAAGAGACAAGGGAGTGGCCTGTTTGATCGATCGTAGGTGTAACTCCATAACTGTCTTGAGCCTCGGCCACAGCAAATGGGTGATTTGATCAAAAAACGCATCCAAGCTATGAATTGTCCTTGACTGAGCCGACCTCCGAAATTGGTGTGTGACCTTTATCATGAGTAAAATAGAAAGGGCATCGTAGCATCCAAAAAGATAATTTTCGAGTTGTTCCAACAACAACTGCAATGTGGGTGGAAAGAGTTGTTCAAATGCATCTCTCTTGAAGAACTGGCGGCAAACCACATGCTCATTTGTAACTGCATCCACCAAATGTTGCAAGCAGCTCTTCAACAGACGCTCGTAAGGAAAGGTTTGGTGCTCGCTCAGAGCAACATGTGCGACGACTGGATTTTCGTGAGTGATATTCAGAACATTGGCACGGTTTCCCAGAGTAAATACGTCGACTCGCTTTTTTGCTTTTGTAGTAATCGAGTCCCGCAGATACGCATCTTCCACTGCCAAGACATCCTGACGGGTGGCTGCGTGTTTTGTGGCATCGAGCTGGATGAGCTGCGCCTGGTAAGTCCGAAATAAAGCATACATGGTTTTGCTCATGCTACCGCAATAAACCTTGAACAGTTCTTGAGCAATATTCGGCGCCGCGTCCATCAAGAATTCATAGAGAGTAGCGTAGTGCAAGAGGCCGTGGGACTGGAGTATGCGAATGTTCGTTTGTGGCTTTCGGAGCAGAATCATTTTTTTGTAAAAGAAATCACGAATTCGAGACACAGCCACCAAACGAAGCTGGCCGATGTGTGCTTGCATTTCCTTCCCTGCCACCGTGTCTGCCGGGGACTCGCCACAAGCCCATTCCTGTTTGGTTTCCTCGTGGGTATCACGGTACAGTTGGACCAATTCTCCTATCGCCTCTTGAAATTCATCGTTGACCGGACCCTTGACAATTGTATTGACTAGATGCGGACTGAGAATGATTCTTCCCAGAAAATCTCTCAACCCCATTGCTGCAGCCTTTCGGTTGTGCAGTTGTATGCCCAGTCGTTTCGAAGTCTCTTGTAGTTTGCGAATATCCCCGCTGAGGCCACCAAGATCAGCCTGGAAACCCAGTAGCATTTCCTGCAGACCCAACAGGATTCCATCGCAATTTTCTAGTTCTTTGCAGAGACTCGCAATCTCTGTAGTCTTTTCGCGATAGGCTTCGACGCATTTCGTCTCCAATTCCATCAATTCCCCTTCAACGGTAGACGAATAGCTCGCTAGATCCAGCGAGCCATCAGCCAGGGCCGCCTTCAAGCTCGGATTCGAAAGAAAGAGGGCCAGATCATTCGAAAGCTGTTCTTCGCTAAACGGCTCAGCTGTCGACGAGGATTCTTGTAGTGCCGACGAAAGCGACAAATTTGATCCCGTGGGGAGAGATTCTCCCGACGATGCTTCCGAAGTGGTTGTCATCTTCTGCGATGGCGTGGTTCCAGAGCGGCTCAAGGGTGGATCGGCAACAGCAACAACAAATTGTCACACTCCACTTTCTGTTTCAATCATTCCAAAGCACGCAAGAGCACAACAACGGAAAAATGACTTGAAATATTATTTTACTTTACGGTACCGGTGCGTACAGTGCTTATGTTTTTGGATCATCCTGTAATTTTATGACGAGTCACGAATAGCTGATGAATGCCCCTAAATACCATAACAAGACAACACCGTACCATCAGCAAATAAACTTTTTTTCATTTTATTTTTACTACTGCATAATACTAGTAAAACTATTCAACTTCTGAGTAGCAGTCATATCAGAGTTTTTGATATAGATATCACCAGGCTGCAGAGTCTTGCATGAGAAACCCAGACATAGCACTCACCTTTAAATTGTGACCCCTCCTGCCTGGTGATCATACCTGGCGGTAGTAGAGGTGCTGTGCAATGCATTGGTATTTGAAAAAATTGCCTTTTTTCATCCTAGACTAACAAGAATGCCATTACATAGTAAAATGTTATTAATGTTTACTTGGTAGTAGCCACATACCACCACTATGCTGTTGCTATTCAATAATTATTCAACAATGTGCCTAGTATTTGTTTCTCAAAAAAATCCAAATTTTCAGCTACATACAAAGAAGTCCTCCTTCCTGCAATATCAGGGTTTACTGATAATCCTCTGTGCCCCCTACTAAATATCCTTTCTGGTGAAGGAACCGATGTTGCTTGAACAGCATGCAGAAGATACTTCCTTGCTACTACTAGGAGTACTAGTACAGCCAAACAATGTTGAAAATTGGTTCTTGTTCTTTCTATTTTCCCACCATGTGCAGTGTAGTACCCAGAGTGTGAAATGGCTTCTTCATTTTCAAGCTTGATTTTGACAAAAAATGAGTAAAACCTAGAAGAACACTGCAGCTATTCAATTGTTTGAATCCTATGTACAACTGGTACATTCTTGGTGATGCACTGGTACCAGATGGTAGGAGTATGGTACAGTTCTTGTACTCGTACAGCAAGAACACAACAGCAACAGCAATTCTTCATCCAATTTCAATTAAGGAATTGCATTGTCAATTGTTGTGTTTATATTTATTTACTACATTCAATTTATCTTGTTCTTATTACTAGTAGTAGTAGTAGTAGTAGTAGTAGTAGTAGTAGTAGTAGTAGTAGTAGTAGTAGTAGTAGTAGTAGTAGNGTAGTAGTAGTAGTAGTAGTAGTAGTAGTAGTAGTAGTAGTAGTAGTAGTAGTAGTAGTAGTAGTAGTAGTAGTAGTAGTAGTAGTAGGGGTTGGGGTTGTAAGTATGCGTAGTATTGTAACTACCTGTAATTTTGTTGCACCTCGTTGTTTCATTCGGTACCGTACGTAACCGTTGAGTAGCATCGAAATTACATGTAACCACGCACGCTTGGTTACTAAACTGGTACATGATTTGTTGAGCAAATCATGGGCACAAACACTAGTTATTTTTTGCTTAAGTACATGCACCTCAACCTGGTTACAAAGCGTGCGGACTGAATTTTGTAACCAGAATTTGTAACCAAACCCTTTCCTAAGGAGAACCCATATTTTTTACACGATACTACTAGTAGTGTGGTTACAAAAAAAAGGGTCTGGTTACAAAAACAGGCGCACTGGTTCCCTTGTGCGCGCTTGTAACCAGGCGCACAGGCACACCATGCACCTCGACAGGTACAAACAAAAAACTGTCTTCACTAATTACTGTACGTAGTATTACTAGTACTAAAAATGCGAGCAGTTTTCAGTGAAAAACTGATCTTGATTGCTATTCCAGTACAAGCTCGTGTAGAAAACACCGTAGAAATATTGATTTGCAGGGGGAAACAAGCAAAACACCACCAGCAGAGCAGAATGCCGTATCGTATCAGTAGCTCTCTGTATCAGCAACTCGTATCAGTGACCTCCGTATCAGCGGCTCCTCCGTATCGTATCACCGACTCGCTCGTCCTCCGTATCGTATCAGCGGCTCGCTCCTCAGTATCGTATCAGCGTCCTCCGTATCAGCGCTTTGCTCCTCTGTATCGTATCAGCGGCTCACTCCTCCGTATGGTATCAGCGGTTCCTCTGTAGTATCAGCGAGAATCCGTATCAGTAGCGAGCCTCCGTATCAGTATCGTATCCTCACGCTGTGTGGTTACATGTAAATTTCGATGCTACTCAATTGATTACGTAAATAACTGTGGCGTTGCATCGGTCCCACGCCACAAGTATCTTCAACACTACTAACAACAACAAGCTCTCAAGCTAAAGCTCTCGCGCTTGTTGTTGTTAGTAGTGTTGAAGGTACTTGCAGTAACATCACTTAGATCTCGAGCTAAAGCTCTCGATCTCAGTGATGTCACTGTGTGTACCATAAATGTAACCAGAATGTGTACTCTGTTGAGCTCCGTGTAATTATCGCAAGAAGAGTTTTTGTACTGTGCGCTCTTGAGCTAAAGCTCTCAAGTGCACTACACGGAGCTCAGCAGAGTACACATTCTGGTTACATTTATGGTACACGCGCGGACCGTGCGACGCCACAGTTACTCTACATACCGTACGAGTTTAATCGGAGTAAAATGCGTTAACCGTATGAACCCTACCACGTCCTACAGGGCAGAAAGGCATTCTATTCAAACACCAAAAATTATTACTAGTAGCATCACGGTTAATTTTGGGCACCGTATTTTAGTACTGGTCCTACACAGATCTACTAGTTTTCGGTCACTTTTTCCACTACAAACAGCTCAATGAGGTAAAATAAGCTAAACACAACAGCTCAGGAAAGGCTTGTAATGAGATCCCCTTTGGGGAAAAGCTTCCTTATAGTGTTGGGAATAGCCCCATGTGTCATTGTTACACGATTAGGGGCCAGGGGGGGGGCGATTCTCCACTAACACCCCGTATGGCCAAAATTGGCCGGTTTACAAGAGCGCCTGCTAGTTAGAAAATAGGCCAGAACTCTATCAAAAAACAACTTTAGAGCACCAGACTAAGCGCCCAGACCAAGATAATACAATTACTTAGTGATCCAGGTCATTGGGATGCTTAAGGATGYTCTGGYRGCTTAGAACTAGTATSCAGAAGTTACAGTAGTAGTGGGCCAAAATTCCTGCGTTAATTCTAGGTGTAATTTTACTCAAGTTAAACTCGTACTCTTTTTTCAATCATACGGTAGATTCTGTTCAGGAATGCCAAAAAATAGCAACATTATCGTCGCAACCATTCGCTGCTTTTGATCCATCTTCAAAAAGTCTGTGCTGCCGATATCATCAAATAGAGAGGGAGAGACTGCCATTCTGGGGTCGACAGGAATTCTGGCGCACGATTCGAAGCAAGACGCGGATTTCCCAACTACGGGCGGCCTGCAATCTGAATTTGGTCTCCTCTCTTCGTTTCCATAGCCCGTTCCCCGAAATTTCGAGCCTCGGTCGCTGAGACATTCGATGCGATGAATCAAGATCCTGGGGGAGAACGCCCGGATCGGATACCCGAAGAGAGTCCATCCAAAAGTGTTTCCGACCATGACGCAACCCAAGATGGTTCGTCTTCTCGTGAACACCCCGCGCACCAGCAGAAGTTTCAACGACAACAAGAACAAGAACAACAACAGCAGCAGCAGCAGCAGCAAAATCAAACACAACCAATGCACCCAACCTGGTCTATGCAGCTGCCATTCGCACCCCCGCCTACCAGGCACGGTCCGCCAGTCAATCCCAATCCAGCTATGCTTCATTATTACGAAGCCCAGATGAGAGATCACGCAGCTGCCTACGCCTCGGCAGCAGCTGCTGCCGCCGCCACTGCCGCTCAGATTGCCGCAGACATGGCGTCTTCTACCAGTGCCTATCATTCCTACCATAACCAGCAGCAGACCCACAACGGTATTCCCCACCTTTCCTACCCGAACAACGTAATACCGCCCATGTCGCCAATGTCAAACATAATGTTTCCCACGTCTCCACAGATGTTTGCGCCGCCCACTTTCATGCCACCCATCACAGAACTATCTTACCAGCAACAATCTTCGGTCCTCACCCCAAACCAACGATCCACAAGTGGTGAGAGTAGCCAACAATATGCAAACCAATCACCGCGATCTACGGAGGGTAATGAAAAAAGCAGTCGACATCGCCATCAGCATCATCAACGTCGTCGGAAGCGACAACAGCGCTTGCCATCTTCATTTTCGAACAACAGAAACGCCAATCCCAACATCGACAGTGATCCCCGGCAGAGGCAATGCGATTTGAGTGCAAGCACGAATGGCAATTGGACGCAGCAAGGCCAGCAAAAACGAGGGCGTCGTCGACGAAGGTTTTGGAACGATGCAGGATCCAGCGATTCTGGTGATCCATCGTACAACCATTCTAATAGCAATAACGATGGATATTACAACAAAAATTGCCGTCGCAATCGCAAAATGGCCAAGGCAGCTAGTTCTAGCAGTGACGGTGGCAGCGCGTCCTGGATTACCAAAAAGAAACAACGGCAACCAAACGACGACAGTTTGTTGGGCAAGACGGGCGTCAGTGCCCTTTACGAATGGGCCATGAAAAGACGAACGACGCCTACTTTCTCGATGTCACAAAACAATAGTTTCAATCGTAAGAAAGAAAGCGAACGTACAGAAAACGAAACGCAAGAGAAAACAGAGCAAAAAGAATCGGTCGATGCTATGCAACAACACCTTCCAAAAGATGACGAGGGCAAACGCAGACGATTAGAGCTCGAACATGATTTTTTCGAAACGACTGTCAGCATTGACGGGGTCGTAATGGGAACCGGCCGCGGACCTACAAAAACTTCAGCGAAACACGAAGCGTCGCGTCGGGCTTTGATGACATTACTGCCCGGCGTAGAATTTGACGAGGAATCTGGTATTTTGGTAAAGCTACCTGGAAGTGATTCGCAAGGGTCATCGCAGCGTTTTGTCTCTGAATCTTCAGAGAGAACGCAACAAAAGACAGCGGCAATAACATCGTTAGAGGAACTGGCGCCAAATCTTGCCAAACAACTAGCTATCGGGCACAGCAATGATGACGACGACTTTGAACACAGAAAAGGAAAAGGAACAAATATATGCAAACTACCTGGAAGAGATTCGAGGAAGCGACAAAAATGGCCACACGTCTATTCAGGAACATCAACTACGTCAGATGACGAAGACGAAGACTCCTATTACGCATCTCGTGGAGCTTATGTATGTAGTTCTTTGCTTCATGCAATGGTTCAAATCGACGAGAGGCTAACAGAACCACCAGAGTTTAAATACCAAGTATCGGCAGTTACCAATGAACCAGCCGGACAACACTCAAAATTGAAACGAAAAGCATGCGTTCCAATCAAAGCCACATCAACTGCTATTCCCCGTGGCTTTTTCCAATGTACTGGGACGTTGAAATTGCGAACTAACTTTAAATCCGATTCTACTCGGCCGGAAGATGCCGATGGTGGTTCCTCCGATGGATCTTTGCGGCCACGCGAATGCTATCGACTTTTACGATCGTCCGGCGTAGGGGGCACAAAACGCGACGCGAGATATACCGCTGCGGCAAAATTACTAGCCCTGCTTTTCCCGGAATGCGATGGCATGGCCCAGGTGAAACAAGCTGCGGAAGCAGCCAGACAAAACTATGCAGAGACGCGAGCTCTGAAACAACAGTCAAAGAGAGCGGCGCCTTTGGCCGCCGCGTCTAGGACGAAGGGCTGCCTTCCTGCCATTCGGTCAAATGAGAATATCGGACCGAACCTTTTGTTTACAGCTCTGTGTAAGAACGCACCAAAAGTCCCAGATCAAATTCATCAAGGCTTCACGGCGGTGCTTGGAAATCTTGGCTTGAAGGGTGCCTGCACACACAATCATTCGTCTGTATGCGAGAACGAATTTCACAACGTCGACACATCAAAAGAAACGGGCCTTTTGCGACAATTGAGTCGACAACATCAGCTTGAAGAAAGCATAGATTCCGCGTTACAAAAGCTGAACGAACACGACGAAGAAGGCCGGTCTTTGCCAGAAGAGCTTACTGCAGACGATGTAGGACGGACCGTATTGCGGCGAGCAAATGTCGACGATATTCACTGGTTAGAAACGCTTTTCAAAACAAAACCATCCCAAAAATATAATACTGATATGGGTCCCTTATTTGGAACGATTTTGGAATCAGAAAAAGGGCCCTCCTCTTTGTCAATGAAGCGGTGGTCGTCGTCAACGATCGTTCTTCTCCTCTGCCGCGCCATTGCTCCACATGAAGATCCTCCACTGGGTTGCGCTGTTCTGACCCTCGGTTTTTCTATGCAAAGAGGGAAGATTCTTCGAATTGCTCAAATAGCAAGTAAATCGCACCAACCAAGAGAGCGCTTTATTGAAACTCTATCAAAATTTGCGGCGAACATGGGGTGCGCTCTGATATCTTCACCGTCAAAAACGTCCTTTGCTAATCTAGAAAAAGATCATTTACAAAGAATGATGGGCAGGCAAACATGCACCCTCAATGAATACCGTAAGCGACAAGAGGGGCTCGACTGCCCAGAGACGATTCATGACAACATAAAGATGCACATAACATCGGAAGAGAAACATAATCGACCGAAGCCGTCCCTTCAATCAGTTCAAGAAGAAGTGGAAGGCATCGAAGAGAGTGATTCATCGTCTCCTAAGGACAAGAAAACAAAGAGACGCGAAAAACCAAGCAAACGGTCGAGGTTTCAATGAAACCTAACAAACACACTTTGATGACCCTCGAAACACTCGTCCATGATTTGACTAGAATCTACAACGAACGAGAATATTTTCTTAATGATCTTGCGGTCTTGCACGTTGGGGTTGCGCCCTTCTGGTTTATTCGAATCAATATGGCAAAAACCGTTTTTGGAGTCGTTCCACGGATTCGAGATCCTCTAAAAGGTGCGATACAGACACAGCAGGACCAGTCCAGGCCAAGGGTTCTCGACATGGGTTCAACGTCACCCAAAAATGCGCATGATGAAATTTATAATTATACTGCTTTGGAGCAAGATTCCTCATGTTCAAATCCTGCAGTCCGTCTACAAAGAGGGTTCTTTCATCGCTAACAGCTAAAACCTGAACTTAGTTGCACTGAACTATGGACTAGTATCTAGTCATTTTGCGTCATTTGGAATATACTTTCGTCGATCATCAGAATTATTATTATTCTTTTTAAGAGATATCAACATGAGAATAGAATACTGAAATCTGAAGTTTTTTCGGAGTAAGTTCCATGGGAGGGATTACTTTTTTTGTGCTTTCAGCATTGACCTATGATAATTTGAAATAAATGCATGCTTGTTCCGGAAACATGTTCTGGCGATACTGAGTTGTGAAGGATTTTTCCAGATTTTTATCCAATCGGGAAAAACTAAGGGTGGACATTGAAACTTTGATGGTGTCAACTGCTTGAAACGCACAATACCATAGATCCAGTTTGTGTGACGTAGGTCTTATCTTGGGGACTTGCAACTGGTCCCTGGTAGTACTGGTGATCCTAGTATGCTTGTTGCAAATAAGTACTTCCTCTGTCCAGAAATAGATGTACCCTATGCACCTCTAGACTAGTAGTGGTGAAATAAGCTCAATATTTGGGCAATTGGAACGGTTCTTTTTCTTTTTAACAGATCTATCATGAATGCACACAATTCTTATTAAGATTGTATTAAGTGAATGTGTCTGATGTACTTGTGATAGCTACTCACAGAAGGCCATTTTTGGCATATCAATGTGATTTCACCATCAGTTGGGTTTTAGTGGTCACTTAAGCACCTGAGTTCCAGCTATAGAAAGCTAGTAAGACTGAGTGCTTTTTTATGATATACTTCTTATTATATTTGTAGGAAATGTTCCATTATTGGCCATTCTTGTTCAAATGAGGAACACTGTACTACCATTGTCAATATTTTGTTTCCTGTGTTGACAGACATGTAATTTTATTGTGCAAAAATAATCACACGCATGCTTATTTCTTGTCTCTAGTACAGATTCTATACATTCTACACAGCCATTCCTTAAATTCAACTGGCTAATTGTTAAGTAAATAGGGGTCACTTTTTGTATGGACAGCCAAAATGATCACAGGGTCATATATCTATTTCTGGACAGAGGAAGTATATTAACAAGAAGAAGTTCCTGGTTAGTACATCAACTTAAAATACTAATTATCACAAACTGATCTAGTAGTTTCAGGGTTTAGACATTCATCTCATTCTAATTTTGACAAAGCTATTACAATTTAAAACTGAATTATATCACTGAACTAAAACTGATGAAGGACAGACCATTATATACTGGCAGTGCCTTTACTGTGCTGGTATAACTAGTAGTAGGAGTGAAATTGAAAATCTAATTTGGGGGGACCACATGGTACATGTATTCTGGTCCAGAGCAAGGAACAGATTGTAATCATGGAAGTCAAAAAAAATACTAGAATAGTTTTTTCGACTGAAATTGCCAATGGAAGAAAAGGGAGTCTGAGGGGTAGAAACACTAAAAACCTAGACCCTAGTACAAAATGAATGGCTGTTTTCAGAGACTATATTGTTTCTCCCAGAAAATATCATACAGAGCCAATAGTTGCTGTTTCTTTGAAACATAACAGTTTCTTCCACAAAATACATTTTATGCCACTGGATGACGACAATTCGACTTCCACTTGCATCGAACCGCAAAAGACCTAATTTTTAGAACCCTAACTCTACAGTAGTATTTTTAAATCAGAAACTATTTTCTCTATTGGGAATCGAAAGTGACGGTCTTCGTGAATGATGAATCATCAAAATCCACGTTTCGCCCGACTAAAAAAACATAGAAGCTGTTGTCATCGTAATTTGTGAAAGTAAGGGTACCGGTATTAGAAGAGGAATGGCAGAAGCTGCCAAAGCAAGCCATAGTGACCACAGAAAAAGATTCAAAAATGGCTTTCGGTAGTATCTTTCATGCCCAGAGCCTGTCACCAGCGATTTGTCGCTCAACGGTGAGAAGAATAGCTCCTTTGTCACGAAACTTCAGCGTGAACAAGAAGTTATCGACGGAAGAACGAAACGAAGCTGTGCGCCATGCAAACAAAGCAATGAAAGGCTATACGCAAACTCGAATCCTAGCGAAGCAAGGAAAACTTCCTTCAAAGAATCGACCTCAATCACAGGAATACCAGAGTGCAAATGCAATTCAATTCAGCCTGTTCATTAGCCTCGGGATAGCCTTCATCATATCACCAATATTGGGTAGGAAAATTGCTCAAGATGACGAATTCCGCGAAAAGTATGTTCCGGACTGGTACGATTTTAGGGTGAAGCCTCCAAAATCAGCCTGGACAAGAAAGGAACTCCACGATCAGATTGTCGATGTTGAAAGAGATATGAGAGAAAGGGCCATTAAAGGGGATTTCACTCCAGAAAAATTGGAAGCATTGAAACAAACGCTACAACCCCGTAGTGATTTATCAACCGAAGATATCGCTATGGCTAAAAAATATGGGTGGGGTGCTATTCATCCCGGAGTTGATCCGGATGATTATGACGAAGATGACGACGATTATGAGGAATGAATCTCCTTTGGCGTGTCCTTCGTAGGTACAACACAACCTTGCATTACATGCACCAATCATATCTCAGGCTCTCATGTAAATGAATGAAACAATTCAACGTTGAATGCCTGAATTTGATAGGATGCAATGGTTTAGATCTTTTGCATCTCGTGTCCCTTCGTTCGATGCAAGAATATTCAGTGGAGTTGGTTTCGGAATATTTGTTCGATTCCCCTAGCTAAACTCGATCTATCATTCAAGTTGCAAAGATTTCTGAATTGAGGAAGAATCTAATGATAATCGACATTTGTGACTCAAAAGCAGCTATATACAGAACAGGTGAGGTGAGAAATATTACATCACCACAAACCGAAAAGCATCTACTTTCTTATGCGTCGATGCTTCTCGCTCGTGTGAGTTTTTCCCTCACACGCCTTTTTCTTTCCGTATCGGGAAAAACAATCGAATGGTTTCGAATATTGATAAAAAGAATAATATTTGCAATTTAGCCTGTTAGCGACGACTGTGCTGCACGTCAAAAGCCATCAAAATCGCACTATTCGTCGTCCAAATCATCTAAGCTGTCGTCGTCACCATCCAGGAACAAATCACTCTGAACTTGGGTTGCTACTTGGTCGACTGGATTTTCTTTGCTATTGTCCTGATCACTCGTTTCGTTTGAAGCGTTTTCTGATTCAATATTGAAGAGATCCCTCTTGTAGTCGTAGAGCGCACGTCCTGATAAAACAGCCAATCCTTTTCCACCTTTTTTCTTTCGCATCTCTTGCTCAACCATTTTCTTTTGAGAGGAATTACAGGTACGATCAAATTTAGCGACGATTAATGTTGAAGTTGTTTTCTTAGTGAAAAAACACATATTATCAAGAGATCCCCCATTGACAGATCCTGGGCATGACGTACCTTTGCTTCAGCTGCTCTTCTTTTTCGCTTGTTTTGTGCCCAGATTGCAAAGGATTCGGCTGTGATGGGAGTGCCCTTTTTGCCATTTTTCTTAAGCTCTGCCACTTTTTTCTGTCGCTCTGCTTCGATCTCGTCTTCAAGAGTTGGAACATAATTTGGCTGAACGGAATGTTCCGATTGAAAAAATGTAAGATTTCATACATATCGGGGCACTTGTTAAACACTCAGGATAATGTCACTTACATCTTCTTTTAGTTTGTCATCCATTTCTTTAGCTGCAAACAACAAAACAGTAATCATGAGATACAGCTCTATCATTTTGTATCTCTCAAACGCAAATTGGAAAATTAGACAGTGTGAAACAAAACAGTACATACCATCCATTTGATACATCATTTTCATAGCTCGAGAAGTTCCTTTTTTCTTCCCTTCGTCGTCTGCATCTCTTCCCTTGGCTTCGGTCTTCCCTGCTTTCATACTTGTTTTCTTCTTGGACAGCGCTCCCAGGGCTATTAAATACCAAAATGATCATATAAATAAAAATATGAGAGGTTCGGCGGATGATGAGTTGGGAGATAACATGCTTTGTTGTAAACTAAACTCACCATCATTGAACAGGGCCTCTGCTTCTGCTTTCATTGCCTTTTTCCGTGCCTTTTGTTCCTCTTTCATCTTTTTCCTTCGTTCCTCTTCCTGGCGCTTCTTTCGGTCACCAGTATTGTTCACACTATTCGTAACAGACTTCACATATTGCTGTACCTTCTTCGACTTATTCTTATTTTTCAACCCAAACGTTCTATCTTCAATCTGTTGGTTCTTCTTCTTTTGCTCTGCCTTCTTCGAGGTCGCGGCACCCTTGTTTCCCTTCTTTGCCATATTTATTCTTCTGACCTTTCAGGGCTGTGATGGTTACGTTGGTATACCTATCTTTTTCTTCACTGATAATATCACGGTACAAAAGGCATTTCATTCTCAGGGACGATGGTACCGGTATTTGTTGTGATCAAAGGGTACGATAAGCCGAGTGAAATTTTCCTCTTGGCACACTTCCAAAGCAGTATGAGTACGAGTACTACCAGTACGAGTAAGATAAGAAATAAGAATACTCGTACTCGTAGCACGTCGTCAAAAGTTAGAAATTTGCGGCTATGATTCGTCAATCATCATTCAGGCTAAGCAGTGATAGGTTCCTATCGTATTGTGAACTCTCATGAAGGTATGTTCTTTATGGTAGTAGAGTATGATGTACTACGTACTACCCAAGTACACAAGAAAATATCGAAATAGAAGTAACAACTAAAACTAAAAATGCAACCGTTTAGGATAGTACATAGTAAACGTAGGTCATAAGACGGTGCACGGCAAGACTGAACCGAACAAATAGTGATGATTGATGAGAGGTGCTCACACAATCCCGCACAAGGCAAATTCTATGGAAAAAACACAAGTTGCATGAGGCAAATTATGTGAAAAAACATGTAGTGAAGGTACTAGTAATTCTTGACAGCAATCATTGTTGTTGAAGCGTTCTCGATACTACTAGTACTACTACTAGTAGTACTACTAGTAGTACTACTACTCTTCTTGTCAGCTATCAAACTTGCTCCTGTTGTTGAGGATAGCAAGCAAAAAAGCAGTTCAGTAAACATATACACAGTACCATTCTCATGTTTTTTCAATTGTATTAGGGGACAAGCAGTACCAATATAATTTCTTTGTTGTTGTTCATCAAAGCAACAGTAAATAACCTATCAGTAACAAGAACGCCTTCAGTGAACAACCACTGACTAGATCATGCCCCAGTTCTACAACACCATTTCTCTAGGAACAGAGCAAGAGTAAGAAGTACCACACATGAATTGTGATCTATAGATCCAAGTAAGATCTGCCTTGGGCAATCAAGTTCCTCTCCAACATTCTTTGACCATTTCATCTTAGCTGTGAGGAATATGGGGAACTCTGTGAGCAGTATCATCATTCCAACCAATTAGATGAAGCTGGAATTTGATGATTGCTAGATATCAAAGTCTATTGGTTGGTTAAATTTCCATGGTGCCCCATTATTCAGGCATTTGGAGGAACTTGTTTTAGGTGAGGAGCCTATCCATGCTGCTCGCAATTCCAAGACTTCACCTTTCCTTCTTGATGAACAAAGCTGCAATTTGATTATTCATTTCCTGTGACTTTGTGGGATTGTCACTGCCAACACCAGCAACAACAGTCCATTTATGCAGCTTGTTCGGCATAAAATAGGAGAGGACCTTCTTGTAGTAGACCAGCGATGAAGCTCTGTCTTCAGTTGGGTTATCCTCAATATCCAGATTGTTGCCTCCATACACTTTCTTGACAAAGAACTTGTAGATATCCTGTGGCTTTAGATTATTGCTGGGGTATTGATGACCACCATCTACTCTCCTGGGATCCAATCTTCCTGTTAAGTGGTCCATCAGTTCAAGAAGATTTGAGTGGTATCTCTCCCATTAACCTTTCTTGTTCATGTCACAAGGAGGAGGGACAACAGGTCTGTCACATCTCTTCCTTGCCCTTGGTGGATGCCTTCCCCTGGAGGGGGGGGAGGCTGTCACCATAGTGCCTCGTTCTTCTTGGTGCTCTTTGTTGTTTTATTACTGGTGTTATAAGTAGTTTGGTGAATCAGTGTTTGACTTTGCAAGCAGCTTCGATAGTAGATGGAGTAGTGTCGTGTTGTTTTTTGCAATACATTACAGTATCTTTTACAAGAATACTTTTGTTACCATGAATAATGTCAAGGTGCAGGAGTTACAGAACCAGTTGTACTCGGTGCATATTTGGTACTATTTGGGCAACTGAATATGGAGCACAAGCCCTCCAGATAGAGGTACTAATGAAGTTTTACAGTAGAAAGTCCTACTACTACAAAATAGGTATCAATTTTAGTTCATGTGTGTAGAGAGTGATGCCAACATATTTACTACCCCTTTAGGTGATTTTGTGTACAATCCCCACCACAGGGCCATTAGAATATTTACAAGAAATGGGTTGCAAAATATAGGTACTATTGAATATTGATGCTTTACTGCTTTAGTACCCATCATATTGGCAGGGAATAGCAAGAAAAGGAGATGGGTTTCAATATCATTACTGGATAAGAGTACATTGATGGGCACAACAGGAACAAGAAAGCAAACTTGATACTTTGTTTTTTAAATTTAGATCACTTGAATATGCCATTACTTAACAACCTGATAGCCAAGAAACAACAAGTAGGGATTGCAGGAGGCATACACTAGCAGAGATTGTCATGTTGTTGTCAACAGCAGCAGCTGCACAAAGATTGACTCATACTAGAAATGCTGCTGAACCAATAGGTAGAAGAAGAAGGTCTATACCAGGAATGTTTTGGATATACTAGTAGTATTACATCACATTTGACATATTTCTTGCCCCAGATTTAAAAATAAAATTATGCATGTCAACTTCTTTGGCAGAAGACCCATCATGGGTAGTCTTGTGAAGTACCTCCTGAATAATACTATGATTGGCATGCTGATTGCCAGCCACCAATTTGACAAATTGTTGTTAGCTCCCTAGTAGTATGAAACAACTTAATTCCAAAAAATGATGGAGAGATGTGTTTCTGTGACTGACACAGCAAGCTAGAATTGTCACCTCTCAAATCCTTTATGCTATCAAGTGAGTGGTTAAGTTGTAGTATGTAGTTGTTTGGAGGCTGTTACTGCTAGTCGAGGAGAGCACAAAGATTTGGAGAAGTAGTACAAGGAGGCAGAGGCACCACCAGTGTCTAGCTACATCACACAAAAGCCACAATAGAGTGAAAATGCAGATATCTGTTTCAACATTGGCTATTGTTTTTACCACAACATGTCTAAAAATCTCAATATTGTTATATTTAACCTTTTTAACCAAATAAGGAGTGAGAGTGACCAGAACCATCACTTCTAAAGAGAAGAGTAATCCTCCAACAAGGTGTGTTATAATAACACATCTTGTGCAGCATATTATGGGTCAGCACTCTGCTATGTGCTTCAGAAGAGATAGTAACTGTCCAATGTGATGTGTGACAACTTAGAGGCCAAGACCACTCTCTCAAGAAAAAGCCTGTATTCTGAACACTCTGCTGTAAAAAACTAGGAGGAGAAAAGTACAGCTGATAGGGGTGGTAGTGCCTTATGTAGATTCTAATTTTTCATTTCATTCAAAAAATAGTTGTTGCTACTGACATAGTAATAGTTAATTTCTCTCCTCTGGTTCACATGCATACACAACGTCTATAGCTTGAAGCAGATCTTCTGACTGGAAGAAGGTGGGTCAAAAACTTTCAAGGTCATGACACTAATTTTAGAAAGTTTGCTCTCTGGGCCAAAGTGAGTCACAAGGCTGTCACACATTCAGGCTGAATATGTTGGGCTTATTGTGTCACCCCTACTCTTTCCAGTATGTCCACCCTTCTTCACATCAATGTGCTATCATAAGACAGTTGACTTGACTGTGATTACTTGAAGGACATAAAATCACAAACATGGAAGTACAAAGTGAATGTTGTGACTGTTTCTAACAAATCAGAACTCATACAAACGAGTTCTTCATATTGCATTGTGAGTTACTCTTCAAGCACCTTATTTTGAATTTTGAGTTTTGTTGGGGAAGCAATGAAAGTATTTCAGCTCCCACTTGGTCGTTAAAGCCTGGAATATTAATGTCTGGAGAACAACTGCAAAATGCCTAAACCCTTCGACCTGTATTTCTGTGTGATTTGGTTGATATTTTAAATTTGTACCATTTGAGATCGTGTCTAGGAACAGTGGATGAGATGAATCTCGCTAACTAACAAAAATAGCACTTATTGCACAATACTGAGTATTTAACTGACGAATATTGCATTTTCTATGTTTTCTGAATCCCAGTTCGGCCGATAGTAGTATCAATTGAACGCACACAAGACTCTCGTGTTTAACTCATTTGAGGTAGTTACGACCAGTGCGACGAGAAGGAAACCACGAGTTCAATTAATGGCACTAAGAATTCAGTTGGAGAATTCATCAAGATGCCAATATTATCATTTATCTCCGACTGTGGTAGTTTGCACTGCGAGCAATTCTGCATAGCGACCTCGAAGATCTGCGAGTTCTTTGTGCGTCCCGCGCTCTACAACTTGACCGTCGTGAAGGACAATGATATCGTCACAATCTTGTATCGTTGAAAGGCGATGTGCTACAATAATTGTCGTACGATCTCGTCCCAGTTGTTTGATGTGATTCATAATATCTGATTCAGTTTGGCTATCTAATGATGATGTCGGCTCGTCGCAGAGAAGGATAGGTGCATCCTTTAAAATTGCTCGAGCGATGGCTACTCGTTGCTTTTCTCCGCCGGAAAGCTTCAGACCTGAGAAACGCCAAGTCAAAAATAATCGAGAAATACAAAGTCAAAAATTATTCAGAAAAACGAACAAAGATCCATGCCAATGGCATCCAATGATAGAAAGAAATCAGAATACATCAACCTACCTCTCTCTCCAACCACGGTATCGTAACCGTCAGGAAAACTCATTATTGTGTTATGAATTTTTGCCTGCTTAGCAGCTTTGATGACATCTTCCCAGCTTGATTCCAAGTTCCCATACTGTATATTATACCCAATAGATTCGTGGAAGAGTACAGTATCTTGAGGGATAACAGCAATATTTTTCCGAAACGATTCTAAGTTCAAGTCCCTGAGATCGTGGTCACCGATAGAAACACTACTAGTGTCATTGGAAGGATCATAAAACCGATAAAGTAACCTCAGAATCGTCGACTTTCCACAACCAGAACTTCCAACAAAGGCTATCGTTTTGCCTTGAGGAATTGTCAAAGACAAGTTATTCAAGATTTGTCGATCTTGCTTCCCGGGATAGGCAAAATCAACACGGTCGAACGAGATATTGGTCGTCATGGTCTTAGGATCATAATTTAGCTTTGTAGCATCATTGTAAATTGGTGTTGTCGTATCGATTAGCTCGAATGTCTGTTCCATGTCAAGAAGCGATTGTGAAAGTTCTCTATCGGAGTAACAGAACAATTGAGATAGCGTAGATAATTGATTTGGTGGTTTGTGGTACAATAAAAAAATCCAACGAATAGATCACTTACCTATAAACTGAACCAATGAAATTGAGAGGAACTGACAATTGAAATAAGAGTCCGTTGACTAAGACTAGGTCGCCGACTGTGGCCGTTCCGTCCACAATTTGCTGGGCTGTTAGTATCATTATTCCTGTCATTCCGACCGAAAGTATTGCGGCTTGTCCAAAATTCAGAAGACTCAACGATTGTTGTGCTTGTATGGCAGCTTTTTGGTATCCTTTGAGGGAGTCTTCGTAACGCTCTCTGGAAACAACAAGGGGAAAACAAAAAGTCGTAAATAATCCAAATAAATGCTAAAGCAATGGGACGATAATTCTTGGCACACAAACCTCTTTGTTCGATACTTACAATTCGTGAGGGAGGTTGTTGAAGAACTGCACTGTCTCGTAGTTGACAAGGGAATCTACCACTCGACCCGAGGCTTGGTTTTCAAGTCGATTCATATCACGGCGGAACTTTGTCCTCCATTGGGTAATTCCTCCAGTGAAACCTGTGTACGCTGCAATCGTTGCCAATACAACACCGGCATGGGACAGGCCGAATTGGTGATATACCAGTCCTGTGACGAGTCCAACTTCAATTGTTGTCGGAGCCACGTGAAAGACCATCGCGTTCAATACATAACTTATGGAACGATTGCCTCGGTCAAGGATTCTCGATACTTTTCCAGTGTTCTTCGTAAGATGAAATTGCATATCTAGGCTGTGAACGTGCTCGAAGACAGTGCCTCCAACCTTCCGAATGGCCGCTTGTGTCACGGTAGCAAATACAGCGTTTCGTAATTCCTGGAAACCAGATGCAGCTGCTCGTGACATTCCATATCCTAGAAGTGCTACAAGGACAGGAACACCTGCAGCTGTAGTGACAGTTGTGAGATCAGGAGCGCTCGATGTCAGAGATGCTGCCGCTTCTATAGCACCCGTCCCATCTACTTGCAATGTGTCAACCAGAGTTTTGAAAATGTAGGGGATCTGGATAGTGACAGCCTTTCCTGCCAACATCAATGATAAAGCAAGGACAACCTGTTGTTTTCGGCTCTTTGAATCGGGAGAGTCGTCACTGGGCCAAATGTGTCTCGCCAAGGTGCGTGGAATTCGAAGAGCGGATTTCTTTTCGTTGCTCGGTGTTTCGGCTGCAGTCTTCGCCGATGTGGATGCAGAGTCATCGGTCGACGTTGGGATCGAAGAAGTGCTCCGTCGATGTGTTGTCTCTGTCCTCCCTCTCGCCCTCTCGTCCGTCGTGTGGGAACAGCTGAATATTGAAGTCGGATGATGCGGTCGAACTCCTTTGTATCCGTTGTAAGAAGAATTTGGTTGCGAAAACTTGGTAGTTATTGTGGAAACAGAGACACGATTAATTTTCCAGCACAAGGGATATCCCTTTCTGCGCAACAGTGTGCCACAAAGGATCTTGCAAGGCTGGAAGAGAGTCATGTTATTGAATGGATCCCAGAGGTGGCTATTTCTTCTTCTCTCTCTGGCCCAATGAACAACAGGAACTACCAAGAGCTTTAGGAACAATAAAGCAGCAAAGCTTGCACAGTCGCTCTCTTTTCCTCTTCTCACTCGAAGCTATTTTCCTTTCAATTTGACGGAACTGGATTCTAACATCAGTGAATACTTCCAATAAAGTAGTGATGATATCAAGATGATCATGATGTCACACCGTTGATATCCGTTCGTACTCGTACTGCCTCCGACATACGTACCATTACATAGTGTTTCCAGTTCGTATCGTGCCATAATCGTGCCGTCACGAATTACGAATACAATACGTACCATACATACGCACTTTGTACTCGTACCGACAAGGCCAAAAATTGAAGGCCATACAGAAATCGAATAGTAATTCGTACTACGGATGACATAAAAAGTGAACGCGGCCCTACTAAGAAAGTGTGGTTCCCTACTGTGCAGCACAAAATCTACTGAGGTAGTTTGCTACTATTCTGGTGGTGGAGGACCAATCCTGCTTCTTTCTCAGAAGGCAATTTATGCTAAAATTTCTGGGAGCAACACTCATTAGAGCTCCATAGAATTTGTACTGAAAAAATAACAATGGGATTTTTAAATTAACAATGGGCAGGAACCACTTTCTTAGTGCTGCAATCACTTGTCATGATATTCGTACTACGTCACACAAACCGATATAATGGTGTTTTAAGTTTCCTGCGTGCACGAAAACAAATTCCCGCG